ACAGGCTCTTCATGCAAAGCTTATTACCCCCAAAGAGGGACTCTGGTCTTGCTAAGCAGAGCAGCCTCCTCTGTCATGCCTTTTCCCTGCAAGAGGGATGGATCTTTCCTCCTATTCCCAAAGACAGGTGTTCTCCCAATCCTCCTGGCTCTTGTTCCAACACCCTCCTCCTTTTTCCTTTTCCACGCTCACCCCTCGAGGCCGGCCTGTCTGGCCATCCATCTTTCTGTCTCGCCACTTTTCAAGAGCCTCAAAAATGCTTTGGTGGCATTCTTTCCAAAGCTGGTTGCCCTTTAGCGAGAGGCAGCTTGGAAAGCCATGCAAGGCCTCTTTCTAGCAAAGGGGCCTTTGAAAACACAGATGCAACTCTTTGCTCGTTTCATCTTTGAAAGCAGCAACGTGGGATTGATTTTGCAACTTCCATCCAACTCTGAAAAAGTCTCAAAAAACTGTACAAGTTTTCAAAGCCTGTTTGCAGACCGGGGCTTAGCTCTGCACAAAATGCGTACGTGAAATTGTTCTTGACTTTGAACCAGAGTCGTAGTCCAACACTCAAACCACTACACTCTGTGGCTTATTGTGCATATATATGCAAATACAAGTATTCCAAAATCCTGCTCTAAATAAAGATGACTATAGCCATAATATGGTGGCAGAATTCAAAGGTATAGCCATGTTAGTCTGGAAAATCACTCTGCAATGGGATCTTGCAGCACCTTTGAGACCAACCCGCAAGGCAGAAAATGGATAACACACTGCAGGAATAACCCAGTTTGAGACCTCTTTAACTGCCCTGGCTCATTGCTAGGGAATCCTGGGAACTGTAGTTTGTTGTGGCACCAGAGCTCTCTCTGACAGAAAAGGCTAAATGTCTCACAGTGCTACAATTCTTAGTATTCTCACAGTACTACAGTTCCCAGTTAATTCTAATTTAAACGTTTTAATGTTGATTTTGTGCTCATATGAAAGCCCGGATGTTTTGTTTGCAATGGTCTTTGGACTAAGCAATAAACTATCTCTCTACCATCCAGTTATGATGGAGGAAGACCGTGGGGAGAGCGAGCCGATGGAAAGAAGACCTTGCAAATGTTTCAGCAAGGGATTGCTTTGGCCAAACTTTTCATTCCATGGGAAGAGGAAGGGATTCTGCTCTCCGACCCAAAGCGTGAAGGCATCTCTCCAATATTTGTGGCACGCAGGGCCTGAAATTCCAGGCGGACTGATGCACGCCCTTCCCTCTTTGCTCCTCTGGGATGTCAACCAACCTGGCAAAGAAGCAGCTGGGGAGAAGCCGCCCAACAACGAAGGGAAGGGAAGGGAAGGG